CGCATGCGAGTAAACCACTGCTCAGCCCCCAAGGTCACCTTGTGTTTTAACACGCAACTCAAGTTTATTTATTCAGCACTTTAAAAACAACCGCAGCGGCATACAAAGTGTTGGAAATCAAAAAAAAGATCCGACATATTTAGAACAAAGGCCGCGAAAACAATTCATTAGGATCATAAAAACAGTAAACACGATAAAACACAGAGACAACGCAGGGCCTCATGCGTTCCGTAGAGCAATAAAAAAAGGTCGATCCCTTCAATTAAATCAGAAAAAATATATATTTTTTAAGAGAGGTGTAAAAACAACATCGATGTTATAGTTGCAAAAGTGTGCACATCCTCATGACTGAAGATTTGGCTAGTGTTCAGCAGTCACCAGTCCAAATTTCAACTCATGTAAAACATCGGTCACCATTTCAAGTCCGTGAATCCTTTTCAGAAGTTCTAGCGGGCTTTTCCTGACATTTCTTTTGCCTTCCAGCCAAAGCCTGAAGGTTTTATTTCAACTATAACTATTTCAAACTCTTCCTAATTCCTCCCGCCTTTTCCAAGGTGACAGTTCCAGCTGAAGAAAATCAGCGGCCGCAGCGTGACGCTGCCATCGGAAATACTTTTTATTTTGCCGCCGTCCACCATTTGACGTACCTTGTACAATTTCAATCTTTCAATGGACCACAACGACATCTCCCCAAACGTCCGATAACCGCCCTCATTTCCCCGTCACCTTCTTTCTGACATTGAGCAAAGACCTAATTATCAACCGATTAAAGGACGCTCCGTTATCTGGCGTGGCGCGGCGCGAATGCCGACCGTTTTTTAAACACCCCCCTACTCCGCGTGAATGCGAAGAAGAAACAAAAAAGCCACTGCTTTGCGTTATCGTCGTTCGACAAAAACGGAGACAATTTAGCCCAGCGCTCCCAATGGAAATCTCTGAGGGGGAGAGAGAGTTTGTCTGCTCGTTGCCACGGTAACAAAGAGGACGTGTCGCCAACGGCCTGCGGAGGAAAACAGCTGAAGGTTGTGCACCTTGACCCGCGAGATCTTCTATGGTTTGTTTCACGAGGACGACATGCACGCAGGTTATAGATGAGGCTTTTTCCTATCTCACCACACACACACACACACACACACACACACACACACACACACACACACACACACACACACACGCGCGTAATTACCCCCTAACAAGAAGGCAGGAGGAGAAAATGAGACGATATTTTTGTCACCTTGCGAGACAAATATCGATTCTGACGTGTTCCCGATGACGTCCGTGACAGCTCATATCACAATTTTTTTTTTTTTTTGCTACATGATCGATCTTGTCTTTTAATAGAGACCTAATAACGACTGGAACAAGAGGCGGATTGAGTCCAGTCCGCACGGAAGGTGCAACAAATGCACAGCCCCGCCGCCGCCATAAGCATCCTTCCATCTGCCCGTCCATCACCCCAAGCGGTTTGCCGCTAAAAACACAAAACGGAACTTTGTTGACACGAGTCCGTGGCCCCAACGAGAAGTCGAAGGTGCCGGGATTTGTGGAATCGCATCACGTACGCACGCCCCGCGCCTCGCTTCCATTTTCATCCTTCACGCGTCTTATATTTCATCCAGGTGATGAAAAAACGGTTCCAGTTGATATTCCGTCACCGGTGAGTTGCCGCTATGGCTCCACAATGTTGCGCGTGTCATTCGGTGTGGCTCTGATCGGCGATTGAGCCGCAAGGTTGTTCGTGACCATGTACGTTGTTTTAGACTCCGACGTGCGATCGTACCGCAATGTTGTGCGCGTCCATTTTCATGCTGTGATCGCGCCGCAATACGGAGCGCGTCCGTATTTCTTCTATGCAGACTGTAAGTGAGACAGAGGATTGCTCTGCAGCATTTTTTGTCCACGTCGAGTTTTTGTCAACTTTGACTTATGATCGCTCCACAGCGTCGCGCACACCCGCGTTTTAGACTTGGGACAATGTGGTCGCTCCGCATTTGTGTGCATCCAGATTTGTTCTGTTTCGACTTTGAGTGAGACATGGAATTCCTCCACAACGTTGTGTGCCCATTTTTATGTTTTGTAGAGTAAGACATGTTCATTCCACAATGTTGTGTGTATCTATGGTTTGGCCCTTGTCTTAGTGCGATTCCATGTTAGTGAGTTAAAATATGACGTTTATCACTCCACAATGCTGTGTGTGTGTGTGTGTGTGTGTGTGTGTGTGTATGTGTCTTTGATTTAAACCTAGACTCTGACATTTGACGTCTGTCCACAGTTTTATGCATCAACAGTTTCAAACCCTGATTTGCGCTGGCTCCACAATGTTGTGCGTGTTGCGTAATGTTAATATTCGAAAGACTGTTGTGCGAATCCGTGCCATGGAGTTGGATGCTGTCATGTGATCGTTCCGCAGCGTTCGTTGTATGTCCACAGTGGTGTTGTGTGTCCATTTTTATTTTCTGTCGACTTCCGGTCGCATGGCTCCACCATTTTGTGCGACGCATGTTTTCGCCCCTGACTTTGGATCGCTCCACAAGATTATGCGCATCCATGTTTTGGTTTTCCCCCCCGGTCTGTTTCACTTCTTGCTCATTTTCATTTGGTCATGTAAGCCGATTTCACTTGATATTAATTCCATGATGTCCGAAACCTTTTTTTTCATCCCCGCCCCCCCCTGCCGCCGCCAAAAAAAAAAAAGGGCCTTCACCCCTGTCTGCAGTTAAGTCAAAAATTAAAATGTCTCTGGGCACAACAAAAGGAAAGTTTCTTTGATCCAAACTTACTTTGAGAGCAAAATGTCGCTAAATGAGATGTTATCTCCCGCTCACGCTCGGCGCATAAACAACTTAATGGCACTTCCCATTAGAGCTTTGGCAGCAATGTAGCGCACGACACTTTGGGTCTCGTCCCAACATCTACGCTTTTGTTTATTGCGACGGCTCTCCGCAGAAGTGGGACCAGGGGATGGTGACTTTGTCTTACTCCCTCCGTGTGTTTGGAACTTTCAAACGGGATTATGAATGGAATAGCCAGCATGGAAATGTCATCTTATTTCCAAGAAGTTACAGTAGCCCCCCGTCTTAGAGGCATTCAGACTTGCACTCCGACATGTGATTGTGCCCCGGTGCTTTTAGTTTTTAAATTTCACACCATTATGTGACCATTAGATTTTTGACCCTGATGTGGGCATCAATTTTTTTTCGTTTTGAATAGTGCCGCGATCGCTCCACAATGTTGCGTGCGGTTGTATTTTAGACCCTGAAGTTTTTGTTTTTTTTTCTCAGTCACTCAATGAAAGATTTCCGGATGGGCCGCGAGAGGAAGCATGAGAAGAAGTCCGAGGAGATGAAGATTGAGAGCGCAGTTGTTACTCTTTATGATCCGAAGGGTTGCCACGGGAACACCTTACTCACGCACCTCTGTGTCTATTTAAACTGGCCAAATTGCATCCGAGAGCGGCAGCGTGAAAGTGAGGATGAGGAGCATATATGACTCCTTTTTTTTTTTTTTCTTTTCCAATCCTCAGGAAATGCTGTCAGTGCACCATTAGCTAAATGGCTGCTCCACCGGTTGTGGAACAGAGTGCAAGAAAGACATGGAAGTTGTGTCTCACATTAGGGCGCATCCTTTTTTTAATCGCGTACTCTAATGGGTCGGAAACCGTTTTTGATGACTGAAGCGGCATGTGCAGCTATGTTTATGTTTTGTGGACATGTGAACACTTCACAATGGTGTGTGTGTGTGTGTGTGTGTGTGTGTGTGTGTGTGTGTGTGTGTGTGTGTGTGTGTGTGTGTGTGTGTGTGGACATGCAGGCTGAAGTGTGTTTATGACAGCGCGGAAGCTGTCTGCTAACTTGATAGCCCTCAGCTAATGAAACCATAAACTCTCAAATAGGACATGGCTACCGCTTTGGGATATTCCAAAATGGTTTCAGCAAAGCACCTGAAGTTTAAGATAACGGGTGAGCATGAGGCTGCATGCTGCCGGTGACCGGCAAATGATTGATACCTTGTCAGTCAAGCTTTCTGTCTCTGATAAGTTGCTCTTCCTCGGGCATTGGGGCCTCTTCAGAAAAAAATTAATAAATAAAAAGCAAACTCCCTCTTGAATACAGATGAAACAAAACAGGCTCACTGAGCAGAGGTCTAGTGAGGCAGGCTGAAGTCTAGAGTGACATCACACACAATAGCTGTCCCGAATGGTTGTTGAAAAAAAGCCAAAGAAAAAGTCAAACAAGTTGATGCCCACTGGACTGAGGTCTTGTGAAGTACAAGAATCGTCTTTGGTCAGAGTAAATTTGACCCAAAAAAAAAAAGCAGATTGACACTCATTGAACTGAGCTTGAGTGTGATATGCTGAGGTCTCGTGTGACATCATGAGACTTGCTGAACTGAGTTCCCGTGAGGCCTTGCAAAAATTACACCGAAATTAAGTTTTGCAAAACCAAGCCAAAGAAAAAGCCAGATTTGATCATGCACACTGAACTGCGGTCGAGCAAGGCACGCAGGGGTCTTCATGTGACGTCATGCGTGAAATGTCCCACAAAAAGCAAACAAAAAAAGTCCCAAAACGTTGGAACTGATCTCTCGCGACACGCGTCGTCTTTTATTTGGTTTATGCTCGTCAAATACGAGCCAAAGACAAAGCTGAATCGAACCCTTTGGCGCTCACTGAACTGAGGTCTAGTTTGTGACGCCCCACACGCTTTTGGTCGAAGCAGCTATAGTACGACCTTTGGAGCTTTCACTCTCGTCCGGTGCGCCGCTGGCGGAGGTCTGCTTGAGAATTTGGAGCAATTTGAGCTATTTCAATTTAAACACCTTTGCCAGACGCCCCGCGTGTCCGACAACCAGCAGGCAGGACGGTGACAGCCTCCCCCCCGTCCAATCGGCGCGCAACTCTCGGCGAGATTTTTACTCGCAAGCGTCTGCTGACTCCGCAGCAAAACAGCAACAACAAAACCGCACACTTTTAGTGTTATAACTGACGCGCGTGCGCGTACCTGACGATGATGTACATGACGAGCACGTTGCCCACCAGCCCCACCACGGACACGATGGAGTAGACCGCCGTGATGACGATGGCGATGATGACCGGGTTGGCGTCGCCGTAGTCTGCTTCGCCGCCCGGGGCGCGCTCGCCGTCGCACCCGCTGCCGTTGGAGCACAAGCCGCCGCCGCTGTTGTTGTAAAAGGCGGCCATCGTGCTCCGGTATTCCGCGTCCGAGAGGTTGCCTTCTGCGCTCTCCATGGTTCTTAAGAATTTTATTGGATTTCTTTTTTCAAAGGAGAGGAGGCAGAAGAAGAAGCGGACGAAGGTGCTTGCGCTCCGAAGTGGAAGCTGCAACGGACTGAAGCGAGTTGGAGTGAAGCGGGTACGGGACAGGGGAAAAAAAAGAGAGAGAGAGAGAGAGAGAGAGAGAGAGAGAGAGAGAGAGAGAGAGAGAGAGAGAGAGAGAGAGAGAGAGAGAGAGAGAGAGAGAGAGAGAGAGAGAGAGAGAGAGATGGCACCCTTTTGCTTATTTGCTTAAAAAAAAAAAAACACGACGTGATGAAATCACACTTAAACAAAATGTGCTGTAGCGGAATACATCGCACGAGAAAGCCAAAGAAAAAGCAAGACGTGTTGATGCTCCCTGAACTAAATTTCACTCAATTAAATTTGGGATGGTGGCCCGGTGGAGCAGTGGTTAGCGCGCCGACCTCACAGTACAGAGGTACTGGGTTCAATTCCAGCTCCGGCCTCCCTGTGTGGACTTTGCATGTTCTGCGTGGGTTTTCTCCGGGTACGCCGGTTTCCTCCCACATTCCAAAAACATGCATGGCAGGCTGATTGAACACTCGAAATTTTAAAGGTGTTTGTCCTTTTCGAGACATTGGTGAGCAAAACAAACCAATTTGGCTATATTTGCACTTCGGAGTCAAAAACTTTCAAACCAAATTCAATCAGGATCAAGTCCAGATTCAATTTGTCTGAAATGTATTCCCCACTTCCAATGAAGTTTTCTTTGTTGACACATCATCGTACAATGCCAAAATCGTATCCACAATGAGCATAATATGTGTGTCAAACCAAATTTGCTTTCAGTAAGTTTAGGATCAGAAACTGTCAAACAAAGATTAATTTGGATTAGATCCAGATTTCATTTGGCTCCAATTTCTGTCCCCATAGGGTGGATGCATTCATCCATTCACTGATGCACAAAACAACCCAAATTGGCTTTGTGTGTTCAGATCAGACTTTAATCCGGATCTGGTCCATATCTTTCCTGCGACGGCCCACACGCAGCAAGTGAGGGAATGCAGCACGTGGCGTAATCCCATCGGGATCGATTTTAATCAAGATAATGTCCCTCCGTATCTCATTACAGGCCAGAAGAATCCCAAAAAGGGTTAAAAGAAGGCTTATTAAACCTACCACAGGCTTGTCTGCAGTCAGACTAACGAGCGGCGCCAGGCCTCGCTGACATTGGCGCATGTTTGCGGTTTGTCTCGTCAACAATATCCGACAAGCAAAGCAGCCGAGTTGATCGATTTTGGAAGGCAAAGTCAATGTCGTGGCATGGATTTGAATCATCCCCGCCGTGTGTCTTTCTCGGTGGGCTTTACTTAAAAGCAAGCTCACGTGAATTTGTATACATTGATGAAACTGTACCGGATGCCGTGAATACTAAGAAGAGTGTGCAATGCTTACGGATGGCGCGGCCGTGAAATTCTCCTCGGGATGGAACGACAATGGCGAATATGCCAAAATATCGGTTACGCTTGCACAGTCTACCCCTAGAGACAAAGTAACAATGCTCAAAATATTCTGAAAGTATTACAAAAAGTTTTACGAGACTTCAACAAACAGGATGTTGTGCAGGATGTTGTGCACCGCCTCTTCAATCGACAACATCCAACGACACGCAATTTGGTGTCGCTCTACTCCTAGTGAACAAGAACAGATGACCTTTTCATTGCTGGAGGTTTTTTACCTTTTTTTTTTTTTTTGTACTTAAAGAACACCACCTTGACTTGCAGGAGTCGAGCTAATAAATAGCATTCGGAAGCTAGCCGCTTGATTTATCGAAGCCCGCGAGCGCGCGAGGCTCCACTTAGCGGGACGGATGAGCTCCTGTCCTGTCGCGGCTGGGTGATTTGGGCCGGATTTAGAGCTTTTAATCAGACGGGAAGGCCGTATTAGAAGAGGGCACGACGGCCGCCGTCGCCGCCGGGTCGTACGGCGCTATGCTTATTTATGATGAACTGTATTCATTATGAACAGCTTTCTCATTTTAGGGCCAAAGGAGAGAGAAAACACAGCAATTGTAATTTGGATCAAGTGAGAGTCGTTCCATCCCACCAGGGGGGTAAAAGGGGCTTTGTCTTGTTGCCGTGGCGATGACAACTTTAATAGTCGCAACACGTGCTCCACAGGTAATCAAAGTCGTTCGTGTGTGTGTGCGTAGTACGATGCCTGTTACCTCTTCCCCATAGTCACCCCTTGCTGTGTTGCCAGTCTGCTATAATTAAGCTCATTGTCTGCCTGATGAAAAAATCACAATCTGGAGTTAATGAGTTCTGTTTGTCTAACCGCGTGAGAACACCAGCGAGGGTAAATTAGCTGATGGGCGATGTCGAGACGCAACAATTAATCGATGATCAAATGAACCGCTAATTATTTTTGACAATCAAGTAGTTGTTTGGATACCTTTTTTTTTTCCTTTAAAATTGTCCAAAGTGGGCGGCCCGGTGGGCCAGTGGTTAGCGCGTCGACCTCACAGTGCAGAGGTACTGGGTTCGATCCCATCTCCGGCCTCCCTGTGTGGAGTTTGCATGTTCTCCCCGGGCCTGCGTGGGTTTTCTCCGGGTATTCCGGTTTCCTCCCACATTCCAAAAACATGCATGGCAGGTTGATTGAACACTCGAACTTGTTCCTTGGTGTGAGTGTGAGCGCGAATGGTTGTTTGTCTCTGTGTGCCCTGCGATTGGCTGGCAACCGGTTCAGGGTGTCCCCCACCTACTGCCTGAAGACGGCTGGGAGAGGCTCCAGCACCCCCCGCGACTCTTGTGAGGATGACGCGGTTCAGAAATGGAAATTGTCCAAAGTTTTGGAATTTCACGTTCCCAACAGTCATCATTCTCCGATTTTTTTTTTTTGTAGACCTCCATGAAAGACTGATTATCTTTGCGCTGAATCAAAATGCACGATTATCCTCACAAAGGTCGCAGTGGCGCTAGAGTCCATCCCAGCCGTCTTTGGGCAGTAGGCGGGGGACACCCTGCACTGGTCGCCAGCCAATCACAGGGCACACACAGCCAAACAACCATTCGCACTCCTAATCACACCTAGGGGACAATTTAGTGTTTCATTAACTTGCCATGCATGTTTTTGGAATGTGGGAGGAAGCCGGAGTACCCGGAGAAAACCCACGTAGGCCTGGGGAGAACATGGAAACTCCACACAGGAAGGCCGGAATTGAACCCTGCACCCCTGCACTGTGAGGCCGACGTGCTAACCAGTCAAGCACCCTGTCGCATATTTTGTTAGAGCAAACTTGCCATTAGCATTCCGCGCACATTCTCCTTCACATTCTGTCCGGCTCACGTCACCAAAGATCATTCCTTTATTTCATCGTGATTTGTCATCCTCACAAAGGATCCTCCTTCGCTCCACATTTCATGTTGCTGTGATTGCTGTGCCGAGTTGTAATTTACCGCAATGATGGAAAATCGCTGTTAATTATAGCCCACATGCACATTTTATAAACATCCTGTTCCATAAGCGAATAAATTAGAATCTAAAGTATGTTTTTTTTTTTTCCAGCTATTGAAAACGCTGCTGTCACAAATATGAATTTATTCCATGTTAATAATTCTGACCAGAATGTCAAAGGTTCATAACTCAATATAACCTTTCCATCCAGCTCATGCTTTTAGTATTCCACATTGTAGTTATGCTAATGAGTTTGAAGCAATAATGTTAATGATGCTGAAAGCAAAATAGACAGTAAATAATCTCACACGCCCACTACTGCTATACATACTTTCAAAAGTCATGGTAATGCCAATAATACGTTTGCGAAAAACCAAGCTTGAGTATTATACTAATGCTAGTTTTGCTTAAAAAAAAACTACCGCTAATTACACCACAACTTCCTGTTTTCAAATTACTACCTTTCTGTATTTCCATTATGAACGCCCCTGCTAATGATGCCAATTGTTGTCATGCTAACAACAGTTGAAAACAACAATGCTAACGCATCATCATAATCACCATCATAATAATAATAATGCATTCAATTTGTAAAGCACTTGTCCTTTAAAATGAAATTTCAAAGTTCTTACTGAGAAAAACCCGCAACAATTCTAATTCTTTAAAAATAAACACTAACGCATGCATAACCTCTAAATACGAATCCTAATTCTCGTTGTAATTTTGTGGTTAAGTGGATAATAATCATAAAACTTGTATAAAGTAATAATAATAACAATAAAAACATATTCCTGTGGCAGCAATACTGGATTTTAGTCATCCGGAAAAAGGCAAACCAGCACTTTGTGACGAATTGACTCAAGGTGTCGGAAAATATTCCGAGCCACATGTTCCGTGCTGATAGCACTCGCACACCCACAAACACGCCAACGCACACGCGCGCATGCATCACTTGCTATTCCGCTGATGGCCTTGGAGCATTTTGTCAAAGTCGTGCGTAAGTACACAAATGAAGATGTTTATATTCATTCAATATGACGAATGAGCGCTTTGTCGAGGAAGTGCGTGTGTTTTTTTTTTGTGTGTGTGTGTGTGTGTGTGTGTGTGTGTGTATCTGTGCACGGGAATGTGCGTTTGCGTGAATGTAGCCATTGCACAAAATGGGCAAAAAGCCAAGCAGTTGAAACCGGCCCAAACCGTGTCAACATGACAACAAAAAGCAGCTGTCACAAGTGGAGGAGACACTCAAACATCCCGTACACGGATTCCAGTCAAGATTGCATGCTTGGGTTGGGGTTCCGAATTAGGGTTTCAAGCCTCAGGTTAAGGGTTCAAGAGAATCACAAGGTTTCAGTTTTGAGTTTTAACCTCAGATTAGGCTTTCAAACAATGGGTCGCTTTCAAATAGGCTCAAGCCTGAGTTCGGGTTTTAAAGTTGGGTTCGGGTTATTATTCCAGTCCGAAAGGCTTGACACTGGCTCCCGGTTAGCTGTAGAATAAAGTTCTGCCTCTGGTCTCGAAATCAGTGAATGGTTTGGGTCCTACTTTTCTTTTTTCTGCTTTGCTTTCGAATGTCGTGAACTGTTGCGTTTGGAAATGCTCGTAGGTGGTTTGCCCTTGCTTGTGTGAAGCACATTGAGTTGCCTTGCGGATGAAATTAAACTGCCTTGATTTTTC